ACATCCTCTTTTGTTTGGTTGTGAGAGGCGTAAAGTTACAAGTTATTTTGCGAGCTCGGCGATTTTTTGCTATCGAAAAATATGGATCAAAGGATTTGCATCAAATTTTGTGTAAAAAATAAAATTAAGTGCTCTGAAACACTTGAAATGTTGACAGTGGCATACGGTGAAACTGTTCTGAGTAAAAAAAATGTGTACAAGTGGTACAAACTCTTCCAAGATGGCCGGGAAGATGCCAATGACCAGCCTCGCTCTGGACGCCCAAGCACGTCAACAACTGATGAAAACGTTCAAGCAGTGACGAAAATTGTTTTGGAAAATCGTCGAATCACTATCAGAGAAGTTGCTGAAGATGTCGGTATATCGCTTGGCTCGTGCCATGAAATTTTTTCAAACGTTTTGGGTATGAGTCGTGTGTCAGCGAAGTTTGTTCCGAAGTTGCTGAATTTTGACCAAAAGAACCGTCGCATGAGCATCGCTCAAGAGCTGTTGAATGACGTCAACGACGACCCAGATTTACTCAAAAGGGTCATAACTGGTGACGAATCATGGGTATATGGTTATGATATCGAAACCAAAGCCCAATCGTCCCAATGGAAGAGCCCAGGCGAGCCAAGACCGAAAAAAGCACGCCAAGTTCGATCAAATGTCAAAGTTTTGATCACTGTTTTCTTCGATTACCATGGCGTGGTGCATCAGGAGTTCTTACCATATGGTCGTACGGTCAATAAACAGTATTATCTGGAAGTTATGCGCCGTTTGCGAGAAGCAATACGAAAGAAACGTCCAGAATTGTGGAAAAACAATTCATGGCTTTTGCATCACGATAATGCCCCTGCTCACTCATCTTTGCTTGTGAGAGATTTTTTGGCCAAAAACAACACCACAATAATGCCTCAGCCACCATATTCACCGGATTTGGCCCCATGTGACTTTTTCTTGTTCCCAAAACTGAAGAGACCTATGAAAGGACGGAGATTTGCAACGATTGAAGAGATAAAGACTGCATCGCTGCAAGAGCTCAAGGCTATACCGAAAAGTGCTTATGGGAAGTGCTTTGAGGATTGGAAAAACCGTTGGCATAAGTGTATTGTATCTGAGGGGGATTACTTTGAAGGGGACAACATAAATATTGATAAATAAATTTTTTTCTTGAAAATACAAAGTCACCTTACTTTTTGAACACACCTCGTATACGAGGTCGTACAAACGCTTCAGGCGCTGTTACACTATTTTAACCGATAGTTTAGACGCGTGTCACCATTAGATATTAAAAATTTAAATTATAATAGGTTTCAAGAAAAATTTTTAAACATTATATTAAGCAGCAAAAGTAAATGGGGTTATTATTCTCAATAATAGAGAAAGTCTGCGATCAAAAAATCCATAAAGCCAAAAAGTACTGCGGTGCCTATCAAAAATATTCAAAAAGCTGCTCCTGAATTGTATTAAGCAACACCAAAGAGTTGGTTGTATTAATAATATGGTATAGTCTATTATAGTAATTACAAAATACTCTGAAATGTTCTTGCATATCATAGTTAGGTCTACAATGGTTTTTTGGGGTATGTTAATTCGCTGCAAAATCGTTAATTTCTGACGATTGTTTTTTGACGAATCTGTTAGTCTTAGTTCAGTTTTGGTTTTCTCATGTAATAATACAACATTTAAACAATATGTCTGAAAATGTTCATCCCAAAACATTGAAAAGTAAGTGAGATATAGGCAATCAAAAAGTGCCCTTGCGGTGTGCATCGTAACTGGTCCCAGAATCATCTGAAATTCGAGCAGTGAGATATAGGCAATCAAAAAGTGCCCTTGCGGTGTGCATCGTAACTGGTCCCAGAATCATCTGAAATTCGAGCATCTCGGGTGTTATAGCGTTGATTTCAGCACGAAAGTTTGCCTTAGGCTCGTCAATAGTTTAAGGCTAGTTGGTGTAAACCTTGCTTTTTAGATAACTCCACAAAAAAAGTCCGGGGGTTAAATCAGGTGATCTGGGTGGCCAGTCAATATCGCCTCTTTTTGACACCGGGCGACGATACGACACTGTTGGGTCCTGAGAAACACGCTCTCTCACTGCTTCAGTCAATTCATTGGAACGTCTTGGTCTCTGGTAAACGGCACGTTAAGTAGGAACGACTGTTTTCCATGTAAAGTGCCACTACTTCGGCGCGTTGTTTCGGTGTGAAGCGATCCATGGCAAAAATTGTACTGAATTGACGTTTCATAAACATATATGATGCAATAAATCGGTTGGTAAATGTGATAGTTCTTCAGCGTTTTCATACCGACCTGAGGAATTTAGTAAAGAAGTACTGTGCAAAATTTCAAACCGATTCGTCTAGTAGATTTGCAGATTCGTGTACACCAACTTTGAAAATTACATCTTTTTGTGAAAAAACGCGCTAATTTTTTGCAAACAAATATTGATAACGTCGGAAGTTTTACTCAATTCAATCTAAAATTTTAACACAATATTCCCAAAAGGTTGTGTATTCAAAAAAACAAAATACAATGGATTGGCCGGTCAAATGAAATGAATAAAGTCATTGTGACTTAGTGATCATTAAACTCCTCTTTCAACAGGGAAGTATATGGTCAGAAAACTTAAGTTTTAGGTCCATAAGGGCGCCAAGGTCATTGTTAAGCCGCGTAGATCATGATCACTAAAACAAAACTCCAACCATGATTCGTTTAAATTGTAATAACTGGTGTAATCCAATACATTTAACCGTAAATAAAAAATACATTTCCTCTTTTTACATATTCTGTTAGCATAAGTATTTGTGTACTGTTATTTTTGTTAAGAAAAAAAGTCTCGGTTTCATCATCAGAGGCTGTGGCCGTGTCTTCAGATCCTCATTTGCGCAACACACAAACTTCGCAATCCCACTGGTTACAAGTGCTAGTCGCGACGACCAATTTGCAGACTGTATGTATCCTGTGATCCAACCCGTATCTCCAACCACTATAGGATCAACCATTTATAGTCCAACGCGAACCGTTGTACATTTGTGATAAACAGTAATGAACATTAATGATTTAAGTCAACGCTTTACCAACCAGCATATACGTGACATATTGTGGGCTTACCCGAAAAAGTGTCATCACCAAATAAATATCACAACACCATGTTTAACAAGAAAGAAAAGCTTACTTCGGGCGGTGCCGAAGTTGATATACCCTTGCAGAATATTCTGTAAATTATATTCTCCAAAACTATTCATGTGATGCATTCTTAATACTCATAAAAAATCCCAACTTCCTAACTTTAAAAACGACAAAGTTATGGCATTTCCAATGGTTCAGTTATATGGCAGCTATAGGATATAGTCGACCGATCCCGACCGTTCCGACTTATATACTGCGTGCAAAGGAAGGAAGGGTGTGTGCAAAGTTTCAATTTGATATCTTTAAAACTGAGAGACTAGTTCGCGTAGAAACAGACAGACAGACAGAGAGACGGACAGACGCACAGACGAACATGCTTATATCAACTCAGGACGCGATTCTGATCAAGAATATATATACTTTATAGGGTCGGAGATATCTCCTTCACTGCTTTGCACACTTTTGACCAAAATTATAATACCCTCTCAAGGGTATAAAAAGCAATTATATGCGATTGAACTGAGACAAATTTCGTCATCTGCGTACATCAGGGCACGCGACTCTGTCAAGACTAAAATACGCATGAAGCATCTCAGATCACATTAGACATTAAACTTTTAAAGAGGACTCGTTGAGTCCTACCACTTAGAGAACAATAGGCAGCTAGGACCAATTGGGAATTCTAGAATCGCTTGATCAGTAAACATTGAAAATCTGAGAATGCCTTTTGTGTGCTATTGTCGGCTTGTATATCTTTATCAAAGTTATCTTTTGCAATAAGTAATCACTCTGGCGTGTTTTTATACCCTTGCAGAGGGTATTATAATTTCAGTCACTGCAACGCAGTGAAGGAGACATTTCCGACCCTATAAAGTATATATATTCTTGATCAGCATCACAAGGAGAGTCGATCTAGCTATGTCCGTCTGTCCGTCCGTCTGTCCGTCCGTCTGTCCGTCCATCCGTCCGTCCGTCCGTTTCTACGCAAACTAGTCCCTCAGTTTTAAAGCTACCTGCTTGAAACATTCCCAAAAGTTGTCTTTCTATTTCAGGTACTAAGTCGGAACGAGCCGGATCGGGCTACTGTATCATATAGCTGCCATATAACTGAACGATCGGAAATGCCATTACATTAGTGTTTTTAAAGTTAAGAAGTTGAAATTTTCTATGGTATTTATTTTTGGCTAATCAGTCTGACCTACCACATTTCGTAAGGATCGGACGACTATATCCTATAGCCACGATATATCTGATTGATCGGAAATGCCATAACTTTGGTGTTTTTAAAGTTAGGAAGTTGGAATTTTTTATGAGTATTAAGAATGCATCATATAAATAATTTTGGAGAATATAATTTACAGAATATTCTGCAAGGGTATATCAACTTCGGCTTCGCCCGAAGTTAGCTTTCCTTTCTTGTTTTTTTCTTGTTTGACCTTGGTAGAGGAAATCTTTGAAATTGCAGGTCAAATGACGGCTTAGATTTGAATTATATCTATTACGCAACATTATGCCAACATAACACTGAAATATAAGCTAGATATATAATAGAAATTCAAATCATGGCGTGTAAGAAACCACACGTAAAGTCAAAATGAAACAAAAAGAAACGGCAAATTTCTGAACGTTGCTCACATAAAGGTAAAAATAGGCAACTAAACTTTTCTCTTTGAAATTTTAATGCCTATTTAGTTATGGTATCGAATGGCTATAAAAGCCATCTGAGTTAGACCATTTGATTTCGAATTTTGTTTTGTTTTCAAAATGGTTAATGGTTATGATTATGATGATATAACTCCTCTCTTGCACCATTTAGGATCGTTTTCTCGTCCTTACTTTAATTTTCCAGTAAATGGGCCTTCACTAACAAATGTTTTCAACGTTAGGTTGGCAACTTATATTCAACAAGGTGCTTACCAGCGGGATATACCCTGTCTCCCTTGTAACTCTTGTAAGTTTTTCCATGTTTTAACATTGCAAAAATTTACCACAAATATAATTTTTAAGGTTTGAAAAATGCATTCAGTAGGCATACACTCTGCAATGGCTATTAAGCGGCAAAGAAAACGGCGAGATGAACAAAAAAGAGCACGAGAAAGGCGCTACAGCACACAAAGCTCTGAGAGTGGCGAAACATTTCATTCTCCAACAGGATCTGTGAGACGCAAATATCACCATCCCCATCACGCGGCTAATTCTGGTAGAGGAATGCTTGACAGCCAGGTTTAAATTTTAAAACATTAATATAAATATAAAAGGCTTTAATTTATCCTTTAAATATATAGGTTGTTACAAGTATTGGAATGTTGCACATTGGTATTGTGTTCGTTGTGTTTGGAGTTTTCTTATGCGGGGCTGGTATTATTCCAGATGAAACTATGTCCTGGAATGTATTTAGTAAGTAATCATTTTCTAATACCTATACTTAATGGGTTTCAGTTCATCGAAAAAAAGGTTCTAGCTCAGCCTGGTGGAATGAAGTTACTTGCACCGGCTTATTTTCCCTTGCATTGGGTTTATTTTTACTAATTTTAAACTGTCTTATAAGTCGGAAAGAGGAGGAGGACCTTGAGGACTACGTGCAGCGTCAGCTGACTAGATCTCGTTCAGGTAATATCTTATTTACAAAGAATTTTTCCTAAAATAAATCGATCTTATTCAGGACACCGCCTTGAGCGAGATGTTGAAACCGGTGTGTTAACCACGCGTCATGCTCGTAAGGCTGTTGCCTTAAAAAAAAACGGACGTAACAGCCATCCAGCAGATGTAGCCATCGTAAATTGCGGCCCTACCGAAACTATTTGCAATGGACCGATAGTTGGACGTAATGGTAATATAAATACCAATAACTCAGTAAAAACAGTAATTAAAAATGTTTTTAGGTTTCAACAGCTCTGGTGATGTTATTCTCGAAAAAATTGTGGAGGAAGACACCCCTTATTTAAATGACCGCAGTTCTGGAATATCTCCGATCGAAATAGAAAATGATACAAAACGGCTGTTAAGGAGGGAATCTATAAACGATTCAATCAATATAACACAAATATAAAATATTATATTTTAAATATAATGTAATATTTGTTGTTTTTTATATCTGCGTAGCTTTAAAAAGAATATATAATTAGCAGCAACATATTTTCAAAATCATATTACATTCTTACTGTTACATTTTAAGCGATAAAATAATGTTGAAAACTGCGTAATTTTTTCGAGAAAAATGTACGTATATGTAAGCGGCATTAATTAGCTAAGCAAAGGTTTAATTTGTTATATCACGAAAAGTAACTTTAATGAAAACTCGGAACAATCGTGCGCATTGTCAAATACCTTTTATGCCCTAAACCAGAAAATGGAAAATAATACCTAATAATAATTATTTAAGAAAAATACTCATTTAAGGAATCCCCTTTTTGACTGATACGTATCCTTTGGGGCTTACATTTTACATTCTATTATATACTATTGTATACTTACTTTTTAAAAAACATAAAAATAATAATTCTTAATACACTGCTCTAAATTATTTTTATTAAATTTTGCTTATAAAATAAATTGTTTATTTAATAATACATTAAGGATTTCATTTAAGAGAACATTTTTATGGCCCGGTCTTTAAGAGTCAATCAGCTTAAATTTGTCTCGCAGACAAATAAAATTATATCAATATACAAATAATGGCATTTCGTAATATATATTCATTGAGATATATCGCATTACTATCCTTTGCAGAGGGGGTTCCAATTTGGTAAGTTGTTTGTACGGCAGTAAAGAAGATATGATCGACCTTATAAAGTAAATAAAAGTCACCATCACTGGGCTAATTCATAAATTCATGTTCCTCTGTACGTATGTATTTCACCTGGAAAACTCTGACTAGAAACTTCCGCAATCGTCATTTTATATATATCCATATCATAAAACTGCATTGAAAAAGTGGGAAAAAAAATCCACTTTGGAAAGCTTAATCAGGCATATTTCCATCATCATCACCAAAAATTCATCACTGCTGATGATTAATCGATGAATTTTCATACAAATTTAATTTAGTTAATCAGTGTAAAATTCATCACATTTTAATCATTAATTCATCACTTTTTTAATCAGTAATTCCTCACCCTTTAATCAGTAATTCATCACTCTTTAATCAGTAATTCATCACTTTTTTATCAGTAATACAGCATTTACAGATGAAAAAGCTATGCATTACCGATAAAAGAGTGATGAATTCATTGCACTTGCATCAGTAATTCATCACATTTTCATCAGTAATTCATAAAACTTTTATCACTAATTCTTTTTCAGCCCATTTCCATCAGTATTTCATCGCTTTTTCATCGCTGTTTCACCGCATTTTCATCAGTAAATAAACACATAATTTATCAATATTTCCATTTATTTAATTAAATATTCTTCTTACATTTAATGGTTATTATAAATTATTATAATTCTAAGTATTAATCTTAATTCAATATACATATGTACGTTTTCAGTTGTCTCGGAGGTGTTGAGGATGTTTAAGGTTTCGGTGCTCTTGGGCACCTTTTTTGACTTCGTGCTTTACGTGCTGTCATTGTTTAAATTTACCTAAAAAATGAAACCTTTCATTCAAAACGATCATAACGTATGTTATTTTAAAACGTATATCAATAAAATAATATAATTAATAAGTATCGACTTAAATATTTATTACAAAAACAAAAATTATGTTATTTTAATTTCAAAGGTGTACAGTAGACGTTGTGATTTTTATAGGTTGTCCTCCACCACCCAGCTCATCTTATGGGGAAAGAGACAGAGTAAGAGACTGAGATGGAAATTTTTCTGCGTTTCCTACGATCGGTGACTGAGAATTTCGGCTCTGCCTGAGTCGCATTCTGCCCTGCCGACTTTGCCTTTGGCTCTGCCGGCGTCGTAGTCCGCTGCTGATGAAAGGGCGATACATTTTTGTAGTGATGAATTTCAAAACTGCAGGGTCCATTAATGCAGAGTGCATTGGCCTTACACACATAAACAAAAGAGTGGTCTCGCAGTTACAAAAAGAGGGCAAATCCAAAAAAAGGAAATGCCGGGCCACAATTTCATCTCCCCTAAAAAGATTATAAAATTGCCGAGCTGAGCAGTATATTTTTTAACCATTATATTAACCAGCAAAAGTAAATGAGCCTATTATTATCAATAATAGAGAAAGGGTTCTTCCATGTCATAGTTAGGTCTACAATGGTTTTTGGGGGTATGTTAATTCGCTGCAAAATCGTTAATTTTTGACGCTAGTTTTTGACGAATCGGTTAGTCTTAGTTCAGTTTTTATTTTCTCATGTAATAATACAACATTTAAACAATATGTCTGAAAATTTTCATCCCAAAACATTGAAAAGTGAGTGAGATAGATATAGGCAATCAAAAAGTGCGCTGGCGGTGTGCTGGTCCCAGAAACATGTGAAATGAAAATTTTCCCAGGTAACGCTGTCGAGTTTTTATTTTTTAATTTATTTTTTCGAATTTGGAACCTCAACTTTTAATTTAAAAATGACTCTTTCTTTTCGTTTCCCATTACCTTTCCGAGCATCTCGGGTGTTATAGCGTTGATCTCAGCAAGTCTGAACTGCGGGAAATTTCGTCATCTGCGTACATCAGGACTCGCGACTCTGTCAAGACTAAAATACCCATGAATCATCTCAGATCACATTAGAGATTAAACTTTTAAAGAGGACTCGTTGAGTCCTACCACTTAGAGAACAATATGCAGCTAGGACCAATTGGGAATTCTAGATTCGCATGATCAGTAAACATTGAAAATCTGAGAATGCCTTTTGTGTGCTATTGTCGGCTTGTATATCTTTATCAAAGTTATCTTTTGCAATAAGTAATCAATCTGGCGTTTTTTTTTCTTGTTTAACCTTGGTAGAGGAAATCTTTGAAATTGCAGGTGAAATGACGGCTTAGATTTGAATTAGATCTATTACTATAGCTAGATATATAATAGAAATTCAAAATGAAACAAAAAGAAACGGCAAATTTCTGAACGTGACTCACATAAGGGTAAAAATGGGCAACCACTGCTGCCAACTTTTGCCCAGCAAAAAAAGCTGTTTTTGACGGGAAGAATTCAGAAAAAAGCTAAAAATATTATCAAAAAAATCCAATAAAAAGCTAAAGAAAAATGTATAAAAAAAACGAAAAAATATCAAATTAATAACAATTTATTAAGGTAATTTTTGCTTAAAATATTTCCATAATTTTGTCAATATCTTCTTGGTCGTCCTTATTTGCGTATGACATATTAGTGCCTATCATGCGCAGATATTTTACAGGCACTTCATAGTCGACGCAGCATTTTCGAATCCTTCTCAATCCGTATCTGTATATTAAAATAGAAAATGAATACAGTATATCTTTTGTTTGTAAATAACACTTTACCTTATGCTTAGAATGCTGTTAGTCGTGCTGAGGCCTATCGAATTCCTTAATTTGGATTTAATTAGGTTAACCTGGCTAAAAAACCCTTTCTATTTCCGCGTTTGACCAGGGCAAACATAATATTTGGATGGCCACAGTTGCCAACCCAAAAAATCTTCGGTTTCCACCAGAATCTTTAAATTGGAGCACCTCAAACCAAAATTTGTTTGTGTCGCTGATGTTTTCCCACTTGATCGAATTAATGTTATTGTATTGGCGTTCAATTTCTGCAATATTCTTACATTCCAGGAACTCTAAAATTTCTGTGATGCTTTTAATTTCTTAATTTCTAAAAATGCCAGAATTCCCGCTTTTAACAATTCCCGCAATTCACAAATTTTTCGCGCAGTTAGTCTTCAAAAAAAGCCAGTTTTGACGGGAAAAATCCAAATTGGCAGCACTGTGGGCAACTAAACTTTTCTCTTTGAAATTTTAATGCCTATTTAGTTATGGTATCAAGTCGAGTCGAATGGCTATAAAAGCCATCTGAGTTAGACCATTTGATTTTGAATTTTGTTTTGTTTTCAAAATGGTTAATGGTTATGATTATGATGATATAACTCCTCTCCTGCACCATTTAGGATCGTTTTCTCGTCCTTACTTTAATTTTCCAGTAAATGGGCCTTCACTAACAAATGTTTTCAACGTTAGGTTGGCAACTTATATTCAACAAGGTGCTTACCAGCGGGATATACCCTGTCTCCCTTGTAACTCTTGTAAGTTTTTACATGTTTTAACATTGCAAAAATATACCACAAATATAATTTTTAAGGTTTGAAAAATGCATTCAGTAGGCTCTGCAATGGCTATTAAGCGGCAAAGAAAACGGCGAGATGAACAAAAAAGAGCACGAGAAAGGCGCTACAGCACACAAAGCTCTGAGAGTGGCGAAACATTTCATTCTCCAACAGGATCTGTGAGACGCAAATATCACCATCCCCATCACGCGGCTAATTCTGGTAGAGGAATGCTTGACAGACAGGTTTAAATTTTAAAACATTAATATAAATATAAAAGGCTTTAATTTATCCTTTAAATATATAGGTTGTTACAAGTATTGGAATGTTGCACATTGGTATTGTGTTCGTTGTGTTTGGAGTTTTCTTATGCGGGGCTGGTATTATTCCAGATGAAACTATGTCCTGGAATGTATTTAGTAAGTAATCATTTTCTAATACCTATACTTAATGGGTTTCAGTTCATCGAAAAAAAGGTTCTAGCTCAGCCTGGTGGAATGAAGTTACTTGCACCGGCTTATTTTCCCTTGGATTGGGTTTATTTTTACTAATTTTAAACTGTCTTATAAGTCGGAAAGAGGAGGAGGACCTTGAGGACTACGTGCAGCGTCAGCTGACTAGATCTCGTTCAGGTAATATCTTATTTACAAAGAATTTTTCCTAAAATAAATCGATCTTATTCAGGACACCGCCTTGAGCGAGATGTTGAAACCGGTGTGTTAACCACGCGTCATGCTCGTAAGGCTGTTGCCTTAAAAAAAAACGGACGTAACAGCCATCCAGCAGATGTAGCCATCGTAAATTGCGGCCCTACCGAAACTATTTGCAATGGACCGATAGTTGGACGTAATGGTAATATAAATACCAATAACTCAGTAAAAACAGTAATTAAAAATAGAGCTGTTGAAGCTCTGGTGATGTTATTCTCGAAAAAATTGTGGAGGAAGACACCCCTTATTTAAATGACCGCAGTTCTGGAATATCTCCGATCGAAATAGAAAATGATACAAAACGGATGTTAAGGAGGGATTCTATAAACGATTCAATCAATATAACATAAATATAAAATATTATATTTTAAATATAATGTAATATTTGTTGTTTTTTATATCTGCGTAGCTTTAAAAAGAATATATAATTAGCAACATATTTTCAAAATCATATTACATTCTTACTGTTACATTTTAAGCGATGAAATAATGTTGAAAACTGCGTAATTTTTTCGAGAACAATGTACGTATATGTAAGCTGCAACATTCGTTAGCTAAGCAAAGGTTTAATTTGTTATATCACGAAAAGTGACTTTAATGAAAACTCGGAACAATCGTGCGCATTGTCAAATACCTTTTATGCCCTAAACCAGAAATGGAAAATAATACCTAATAATAATTATTTAAGAAAAATACTCATTTAAGGAATCCCCTTTTTGACTGATACGTATCCTTTGGGGCTTACATTTTACATTCTATTATATACTATTGTATACTTTCTTTTTAAAAAACATAAAAATAATAATTCTTAATACACTGCTCTAAATTATTTTTATTAAATTTTGCTTATAAAATAAATTGTTTATTTAATAATACATTAAGGATTTCATTTAAGAGAACATTTTTATGGCCGGCCTTTAAGAGTCAATAAGCTTAAATTTGTCTCGCAGACAAATAAAATTATATCAATATACAAATAATGGCATTTCGTAATATATATTCATTGAGATATATCGCATTACTATCCTTTGCAGAGGGGGTTCCAATTTGGTAAGTTGTTTGTACGGCAGTAAAGAAGATATGGTCGACCCTATAAAGTAAATAAAAGTCACCATCACTGGGCTAATTCATAAATTCATGTTCTTCTGTACGTATGTATTTCTCCTGGAAAACTCTGACTTAAAACTTCCGCAATGGTCATTTTATATATATCCATATCATAAAACTGCATTGAAAAAGTGGGAAAAAAATTCACTGTGGAAAGCTTAATCAGGCATATGTCCATCATCATCACCAAAAATTCATCACTGCTGATGATTAATCGATGAATTTTCATACAAATTTAATTTAGTTAATCAGTGTAAAATTCATCACATTTTAATCATTAATTCATCACTTTTTTAATCAGTAATTCCTCACCCTTTAATCAGTAATTCATCACTCTTTAATCAGTAATTCATCACTTTTTAATCAGTAATACAGCATTTACAGATGAAAAAGCTATGCATTACCGATAAAAGAGTGATGAATTCATTGCACTTGCATCAGTAATTCATCACATTTTCATCAGTAATTCATCAAACTTTCATCACTAATTCTTCCTATTTTCATCAGTAATTCATAGCTTTTTCAGCCCATTTCCATCAGTATTTCATCGCTTTTTCATCGCTGTTTCACCGCATTTTCATCAGTAAATAAACACATAATTTATCAATATTTCCATTTATTTAATTAAATATTCTTCTTACATTTAATGGTTATTATAAATTATTATAATTCTAAGTATTAATCTTAATTCAATATACATATGTACGTTTTCAGTTGTCTCGGAGGTGTTGAGGATGTTTAAGGTTTCGGTGCTCTTGGGCACCTTTTTTTGACTTCGTGCTTTATGTGCTGTCATTGTTTAAATTTACCTAAAAAATGAATCCATTTCATTCAAAACGATCATAACGTATGTTATTTTAAAACGTATATCAATAAAATAATATAATTAATAAGTATCGACTTAAATATTTATTACAAAAACAAAAATTATGTTATTTTAATTTCAAAGGTGTACAGTAGACTTTGTGATTTTTATAGGTTGTCCTCCACCACCCAGCTCATCTTATGGGGAAAGAGACAGAGTAAGAGACTGAGATGGAAATTTTTCTGCGTTTCCTACGATCGGCGACTGAGAATTTCGGCTCTGCCTGCGTCGCATTCTGCCCTGCCGACTTTGCCTTTGGCTCTGCCGGCGTCGTAGTCCGCTGCTGATGAAAGGGCGATACATTTTTGTAGTGATGAATTTCGGAACTGCAGGGTCCATTAATGCAGAGTGCATTGGCCTTACACACACAAACAAAAGAGTGGTCTCGGAGTTACAAAAAGAGGGCAAATCCAAAAAAAGGAAATGCCGGGCCACAATTTCATCTCCCCTAAAAAGATTATAAAATTGCCGAGCTGAGCAGTATATTTTTTAACCATTATATTAACCAGCAAAAGTAAATGAGCCTATTATTATCAATAATAGAGAAAGGGTTCTTCCATGTCATAGTTAGGTCTACAATGGTTTTTGGGGTATGTTAATTCGCTGCAAAATCGTTAATTTTTGACGCTAGTTTTTGACGAATCGGTTAGTCTTAGTTCAGTTTTTATTTTCTCATGTAATAATACAACATTTAAACAATATGTCTGAAAATTTTCATCCCAAAACATTGAAAAGTGAGTGAGATAGATATAGGCAATCAAAAAGTGCGCTGGCGGTGTGCTGGTCCCAGAAACATGTGAAATGAAAATTTTCCCAGGTAACGCTGTCGAGTTTTTATTTTTTAATTTATTTTTTCGAATTTGGAAAGTCAATAACCTCAACTTTCGCCCAAAAACTGAGACATTTGTTGTTGTAAAAATAGTACAGGGTCCTCCATTTTTTATGACGGTATGTAAGCATTAATATCTTTGATAAAAAACAAATGATTTCTATTAGTGATGTAATTTTATTCAGTTTGGTTCCTTCCAATTTTTCTGGACTAGTTTTTGAAAACTACAACAATTATGTGGCCACCCTAGTTACCAATTTAAAAATGACTCTTTCTTTTCGTTTCCCATTACCTTTCCGAGCATCTCGGGTGTGATAGCGTTGATTTCAGCAAGTCTGAACTGCGGGAAATTTCGTCATCTGCGTACATCAGGACTCGCGACTCTGTCAAGACTAAAATACCCATGAATCATCTCAGATCACATTAGAGATTAAACTTTTAAAGAGGACTCGTTGAGTCCTACCACTTAGAGAACAATATGCAGCTAGGACCAATTGGGAATTCTAGATTCGCATGATCAGTAAACATTGAAAATCTGAGAATGCCTTTTGTGTGCTATTGTCGGCTTGTATATCTTTATCAAAGTTATCTTTTGCAATAAGTAATCAATCTGGCGTGTTTTTTTTTCTTGTTTAACCTTGGTAGAGGAAATCTTTGAAATTGCAGGTGAAATGACGGCTTAGATTTGAATTAGATCTATTACTATAGCTAGATATATAATAGAAATTCAAAATGAAACAAAAAGAAACGGCAAATTTCTGAACGTGACTCACATAAGGGTAAAAATGGGCAACCACTGCTGCCAACTTTTGCCCAGCAACAAAAGCTGTTTTTGACGGGAAGAATTCAGAAAAAAGCTAAAAATATTATCAAAAAAATCCAATAAAAAACTAAAGAAAAATGTATAAAAAACGAAAAAATATCAAATTAATAACAATTTATTAAGGTAATTTTTGCTTAAAATATTTCCATAATTTTATCAATATCTTCTTGGTCGTCCTTATTTGCGTATGACATATTAGTGCCTATCATGCGCAGATATTTTACAGGCACTTCATAGTCGACGCAGCATTTTCCAATCCTTCGCAATCCGTAACTGTATATTTTTTTTTTTTTTTTTTTTTTTTTTCGCGCGGAGTCCCACGGCCCACTTACCCGCCCAACCGACCGAGGGGCGCAGCCGTGTATCGTACAACACGATTCGCGATAGGATAGACGCGAGATAGGAAAATAAAGGTAAAGGTCCGGGGAAAAAAGTAATAGTTAGATCAATTTTGTGCCAATGAAGCAAGTATTAATCGTTTTAGGAGCGGCAGAGAGTCAAGATTTGATATTACAGGAAAAAGTCTATTATAGTCAGAACATAATACTCTGAAAGGCTCATGCAAGGCATAGTTAGATCTACAATGATTTAAAATTAGGGGAATATAATTTCTAGTTAATCTACTTGGCACAGAAAAGTTTAGCCGACTTAACAAGTCGGGGCAGTCAATATCACCAAGTATAAGGTTATAAATAAAGATAGTACCAAGCATCGTTCTACGGTTGGCTAGGGATGGTAAATTAATCAAAAGAAGTCTACTAGAATAAGAAGGTAAGATAAGATTTGCATCCCAGTTTAGGCGCCGTAAAGCAAAAAGAAGGAAGTTTTTTTGTACAGATTCAATACGACCAATATGTATTCCATATTGTGGACTCCAGACGGGAGACCCATACTCCAGAATCGGACGGACTAGCGAAATAAATAAAGTTTTAGTCAAATAAGGATCATCGAATTCTTTTGACCACCTTTTAATAAATCCAAGCACTCCTCTGGCTTTATTAACCATGGACGAAATGTGATTAGAAAATTTTAGTTTAGGGTCCAAGAGAACGCCAAGATCGTTTACAAGAGTTATTCTATCTAAAGAGCTGCCACTTAACGTGTAAGTCGCGTATATCGGATTGGCCCGATAAAAAGTCATCAGCTTGCACTTGGAGCCGTTTAAATTTAGTAAATTATCTCGGCACCAGTTTTGAAAATTATCTAGATCGGATTGCAAGTCTAAATGGCCGGAAATGTCCTTATACTGCAGGCACAACTTAACATCATCTGCGTACATAAGTACGCGAGAATGACTTATAATTGAGGGAAGATCGTTAATAAATAATGTAAAAAGTAACGGACCCAGATGGCTCCCTTGTGGGACACCGGAGGTAACACGGAGAATTTCAGAAATTGAATTTTTAAAAAGGACCCTTTGTGACCTGCCATTTAGATAACTTGAAATCCATTTAAGCAGATCAACTGGAAAACCTAAAAGGTCAAGTTTATGAATAAGAAGTAAGTGATTTACAGAGTCAAATGCTTTACTAAAGTCAGTGTAAATGACATCTGTTTGAAAACTACTATTGAAGCCTTTTATCACAAATGTAGTGAGCTCTAGAAGGTTTGTAATTGTGGATCTACGTTTAATAAATCCGTGTTGACACGGAGAAATAATTGATCTGCAAAAG